AATTACAACAACAACAACAACAACAACAACAACAAAAATTATTACAATAATCAAAATGCAACTTACATAACGAAAGCGAAGAAGTGGTAATATATCTTCGTCAGAGGGTAATGTGTAAACTTCAATGGACCCATCTTGCCTTCCGATAGAATATTAATATTGAAAATACATTCTTAATGCGCGTATACTATTGACTGATCGTTGGTGACATTTATTAAAGCTTCGAAACTCAATTAATCATAAGTGAAATAAAATTAATCATAACTTTATTATAAATCTTCGATATTTCGATGGGACTTTAAACGTTAGAAAACTCGTTTCAATAAGTAAAACAGCGTTTTTCACGTACTCATACATACAGCATTAAAATTGAATAAGTACGTCGTAAAAATCTTAATACGCAAGCCATAAGAAGAAGCTCGAGGCGACGGGGCTACTTAAAAAAAAAAAAAGAAAAAGAAAAATGAATAAGAAAAAGAAAAAAAAAAAAAAAAAAAGAAATGAAGAGAAAAGAAAACAAATGAAAAATAGAAATAAAGAAAGAGATTGTGGGTGGGTGGGGGAGTAGGGATGAAATAGCCAAGGAGTGGAGAAGGAACAAAACGGTTAAACATGAGAATGTCACGAGAACGTACCTCGTGCCCTCGATGGCGATGTCTCCGTCGCTGGATGAGCCAGTCTCGATTATTCTCGACGTAGACGACAGCGATGGCACTGCCGGCGGAAGCACGATACTGTACTTGAGACTGCTTATGGTGTCCGGGTCCTGGGCCTTGAGAAGGGTGATCATTGTATTGGGCGGCGCCTCCTCCGATATCTCGAATTTCCAGGGCCCCGGACCCCAGCTCGGCGCCACATCGTTCTTGTCTAGCACGCTCACTCGCACCTGCAATCAAGAGCAATTTCCTCGGGTTAGAGTTCCGGTCGCGTGAATGGACTCGGCTCGGGAAGGCCGAGGCCCCGTCGTCGGCCGGCCCCGGGCACTCCTCGAGATTAATTTTTTCTGACTGGCTCTGCTCCATGATACAGGAAAGAGCGTCAATTTGCGAGGCCGAAAAACCCCAGGATTAAACGCTCTCGCTCTCGCTTTAGCTGCGCTTGTACATTTATACATTGTACACGTATGATTGATCGCTTTAGATTGCCCGGGTCCTTGGGGCCGTATTTTTATTCCCGAGCCGACGGGACTAACTAACTCCCTTGCTCGTACCGCTAAATGCGCCTCGCCTGATTTTTTGATCTGTCGGATTGAAAAATTAAATGGGATATTTAGCCGACAACAATGCGTGGCGAGCACAATTCACTCGTAATTTCCGAAACTTTGGCGGCACTCGTTACACATTATAAGCAACGACATTGCCCGGAGTCGCAGTCGGAGTGTATGTAATGCTTTTAATTACATAGCCTTAACGCGCGGTGCTTATCGGCAATAATGTGTTGCGATTCTGCTTACTAATGCCCGAGGATCAATGAATTATTGTTGTTATATTATTGTCATTGGCTTTAATTGTTTTGGAACGGGGGCTAAATACATTGGCATTATTAAAATCTAAATGATGTTTCATATTATAATCGATGCGCAAAGATTGTACGCTACTTGCTTAAGCATGAGCAATCGTAAAACAACAATGGGAAAATAGAATTTTGAGGTGGACGGATAGGGTTGAGAGAAAAGAATCGTAAGTAATTCGCTAAAAAGGATAGAGCCAAATTTCCATTACTTTCCGGCGAATGAAAATATACTTTAAGCGCCCAGATAAACCAACGAATACCTTTTATGGCTGCCTTCAATCCACATATATTCCCGAAATAATTAGAGTGTAAATTGCGGCAATAAAATTTTGAACGCTATCTTTTGGGCAGCCCCACTATGGCTTTAAAACGATCGGGCTGGCGAAAAAAGAATCCCCGATCGTACATAAAACTCTTCCAAAATATCGCAAAAAAGCTGGGCCATATTAAGTATGCCCAAAACTTAATACTAAATAAAAATTCCGATCTCGACGACGACGAAGACGAAGACGAAGACGACGACGACGACAACGATTAAGTGAAAGAGGAAGACGAAAACAAGGACAAAGAGGAAGAGGAAGACGATTACGACGTAGACTACGACGTAGACTACGACCTAGACTACGACCTAGACTAGGACGTAGACGACCACGTAGACGACCAAGACTACGACCATCTGCCACTATAACTAACTGGGTCCACTTTTGTGGGTTGTTGCGAGCGCGAGCGCGAGCGTGTGTCCCGACTCGGGATTCTCCGGAGAATCCAACAAGAAATAGAGAAGGAAGAAAGGAGCGATGGTGGAAGGACGGGAAGGAGAGGAATAGGAGCTTGAGAGGCGCTACTCGGCTCCACGAGCTCTGAAATAATTTACCTCTATAATGACAAACGCACCGCGGGATCACTTTATCGACGATTATTTATATCCTAACGCTCGCGCGCTCCCGCATTGTTTCCTTTTTTAGCATTATCCAAAGTCCTCGGAAATTTCCATATTTCATGCGCAATATCTCAATGATCCTGCGGAGCCATGCGTGTGTCTCGTCCCCTGGCTAAAAAAGAATACGGCGACGCACGCTAAATATCACTTCTCTCGTTATGTATACCCGTATGGGACATAATACACGTCCGGCGATCGTCGAAGAAGAGAAAAAGATAGAGGAAGACAACTGGACGAGTCGTGGAGTAATCGTCGGCAATCTCACCTAAATAATGTGCTTTTATATGGTCGCCATACCTCCTTCCACCTCCCTCTCTTTAAATCTACATACATGTATATAATGCACTCTGCGCGATCTCTTTTTTCTCGATAGCTAAATTATTTTATCAATTGGGACATCCCTTCGAATATCATAATCAATAATAAATAACGCCTTCTAGCCTTTTTCATAATGCGCAAAATCGCCGATAGGTTCTTTCCTACTGTATTGGCAATATTGGCGAATAGTTGCTCGTGAGAGTATAAGTTGAGACGCCGTGATTAAGGAGAGTAGCTCTGCCTGGGAAACGATGATTGCGCGAACGCACATAATTATAAAAGTGCATATGCAATATTGTTCTTTAAATAAAAATATGTCAAAGTCTCGAATATGTCGTTGTGACAGTGGTATTATCATTTTCATCTTGTATTTTTTGGCTGGAGAGAGAGAGAGAGAGAGAGAGAGAGAGGAACGAGCGCCTGGCTAATAAAGTTGATTGCAATTTGATAATTGCATGTTTAATCGGGAACAAAAAAAAAAAAAAAAAAAAAAAAAAAAAAAAAACTATAGAAATTGTCTCTCATTAAAAGGTCTATCATAAATATCCGCAAAGTGAAAAACATTAATGGCCACGTCGACTGTAAATATTCATTTACTTATCACATTGTATTCATCATGTACTATTTAATTAACCGATTAACGTTCCTGCCGCGACACGCAGTAAATATCCGAATAAGAGGAAAGGGGATAAATACAGCAAGGAGAGAGAGAGAGAGAGAGAGAGAGAGAGAGAGAGAGAGAGAGAGAAAGAGGGACTGACAGACAGACAGATAGAGAGAGAATAGTGAATAGAGAAGGGTATAGCTGATTTCTTATTGTTTCTTTTCAAACTTATTTATATGTGTGTGTGTGTGTGTGTGTGTGTGTGTGTGTTTACGCGCGCATGTGTGTATCTATATGCATATATATATATATATATATATTATTGAAATAAAATAAATATATAGGGAGGCATCGGCCGCAGGACGAAGAGCGCCAGCGGATAGACGACGATCAAGAGAGGACGGGTTCCTCTTTTCCGTCTCCCTCGCCCTTCTCTTCGTTTTCACCGTCTTTCTTATCGTCCTTCGTCCCTCTCTCTCTCTCTCTCTCTCTCTCGCTCTCGCTCTCGCTTACTCTCACTCATCCACTCGATCGTCCTCTCACTCCCTCCTCAGCTGCGTTGCATGACCCAAAGAAAACCCCCGCTGGGCGATACTCTCCTCGCTCCATCTCCCTTGCTCCTAGCCTCGTCGCTGATCCCCGACCGAGCTGACGCAGATAGCATCTCTCTGCACTCTCGAAATGCGCGGTCCCCGCGGACCTTTGGAGTGTGCGCTAGTAGTACCGGAGATACCACCGGGGCCGGCTTATACCACTTCGGGCCCTGCTCTCCCCTCCTAAGGCTTCCAATACGTCCGAGCTTATCCTCCGTCGCTCTCGCCGAGCCGTTCTTATTATTTTTATCCCTTTTTTAATGGGTCGCTTCCCCTTTCTATTGCCAATGCTAGGAGCCTCTCCTAGATTCTTACCGGATAGGAGCGGGCATACATCTTTTCAATATCACTCTTTGTCTAACTCGCCGGTTTTCGTGCCCCGCAGCTACTTTGCCATGCGCGACGCTTTATTTCTTACCCACGGATGCCTCCCTCGGATAACTCCCTCCCCCTCCCACAATACCATCGCAATCACCCCGCAATCACCTCACCTACACCACAAACTCCCACCACCCCTCGTCCCTCGTCACACCCAGCCACCCCGACAATGATGCATTTTACGTATTTATTATATTTTCAATGCTTAATTGGAGGCATACGTTACGGGGAGATAACGATAGACGGAATTTTCGTTTGTTATTTTTAATGTCTGGGAGGGCCTATGCTAATAACGAATACCCGGATAAGGAGCTTCGGTATTAATGAGCGGGAGCGCGTCATTTATCGCCCGGCAATAAGGACATTGTCCGCGGACGCTTTTCATGGCGCGCAAGTATCATTCCGGGATTGGCGAGTAGGTCGAAAAAAGTGGGCTATAAATATCGAGAATTTTGAAGCGGCCGAGGTAATATCCTACAGGCGATTCGATATTCATCTGCGTATGCGTCATTATTATCCAAGTAATAAGGGAGTTAAAATTCAGCTAATGGCAAGTTGGCTGCCGACAGATGTTATTTTCTCAGGATCTGTATCGCGGGAGCGTTGTTTCCTCGTACGAAGCCGAGTTCATTATAATGATTGTGAGACGGGCATTTGAATATGGATAAAGGAACGTCTTGGTAGTCGAGAAATTAGAATCCCCTTGTTATTCATAATTCTGCTTACACTTATGACAGCCCACGTTTTTTTCGAATAATCCCGAGAGAAAATAATCCTTATCCCGCTGAAATCGTACGGACGCGGCGCACGCCCGCGAATTTCTGGCCGATAATCACTTTCGACAAACTGGCCCCTTGTCGCGCGCGCGCGCGCCCGTGTTTTTGTGTGCGTGTTGTGTACGTGTTGTGTACGTGTTGTGTACGTGTTGTGCGCGTGTTGTGTGCGTGTTGTGTGTGTGTGTGTGTGTGTGTGTGTGTGTGTGTGTGTGTGTGTGTGTGTGTGTGTGTGTGTGTGTGTGTGTGTGTGTGTGTGTGTGTGTGTGTGTGTGTGTGTGTGTGTGTGTGTGTGTGTGTGTGTGTGTGTGTGTGTGTGTGTGTGTGTGTGTGTGTGTGTGTGTGTGTGTGTGTGTGTGTGTGTGTGTGTGTGTGTGTGTGTGTGTGTGTGTGTGTGTGTGTGTGTGTGTGTGTGTGTGTGTGTGTGTGTGTGTGTGTGTGTGTGTGTGTGTGTGTGTGTGTGTGTGTGTGTGTGTTGTGTGTGTCGTGCGCGTGTGTGCGTGTGCGCGCGCGTGTTGTGTGTTGTGTGTATGTTGTGTATTGTCTCTCTGGCATTCCTCGCCAGAGGGGTACGAGGAAGAGGTAAAGTAAGTAACTCGAGAAGACGTCCTGAATAATTGTTAATAAAAAAATTCGATCAAAGGCCCGTGCTGGGATAAGAAACGCCTCGGCTCCGCGGCAACGTCGTTCACTTTTTCCCCCGGCGAGGCAACAATGACGGTGAAATATTCGTCTGACTAAATAGTTTGCCCCTATCTCATTTCCAATCTGCTCATAACTTCTTTATTCAATTATACGTACGATCCTCGCCGCGGCATTTGTGCGCGCGCATTTTTTCCGGGCGCTCGACTGCGTGCTCGCCTTTTTTTTCTTCAAGCCCATCCTCCCCAATTCCTCCCTACCC